GTGAAATTTCTTTGATTACCAAAAACCTTTTCTCGACCATATACATGTATTACCTTGAAATGTTGAACAATTCCACAATTTATTTTGTTAAATGTAACAAAATGCCTTGGATAGATAATCAACTTGAGGGGTAGTTGGACCTGCTGTGTCATTTTCAGTAATACATAGAGAAGAGTGAAGTCTGCTTTTTCTCCTCTCTCTTATTGTCATACAAGATAAAAAGAATACATGATGGCAGGTTTCTAGTTTGACATCTAACAAGACCACAGTCCCGCTATAGGGGGACACCCTTTAAATAGGAAAAACAATGTCCGCCGGAAGAGTTGTGCACTATGGGAGGTCCCATGAAAAATGTTCATTTACATGCTGTTCATATGAGACTGGGAGTGTAAATTCTTGCAACAGAGAAGTTCAAATGTTGAAGGCAAAGGTTGAGAACTTCTAATCAGTGAAAAGGTGAACTGTAGGTTCCTGTACGACTGTACTTAAATTTGCTGCCATTTTAAAGAGCGAAAATAATTCACAGATGTTGACAACTCAATTACCAATTGAAAACAACAAATTTCTAAAACAGTATAGTAAAAAATATATTGCAAGAGGCAGATTACAAGAAAATACCACATAACTTTGAAAAACAAAACAGAAGAAATGCTCATTACATTTATTTATTTCATTCACTGCTCCCTCATTTCCAACCTAGCCTCTCTCCAACTCTCTTTCCTTTTATAATTTAATTACACAGACGAACTTTCTGCACAAGGAAGAAGAATTTTCTTGAAACAACAGAGGAAGGTCATTTTACAGGAGTCTAGTGATGTCCGGGTTTGAAATCTGAGATATTAGGAACAAAATAACTATCATCTTTGAATGAATGCGGATGTTTAATTATTTGTCCTACATGTAAAACAGCCGAAGAATTAAGGGAGCGGTGAGCTCTTTCTTGAAGCAATTCCACGAAGAATGTGATTATTTTGCTCGTGTAGCATGGGTCAATTTGATTAAAAACCGATTTTTCTCGTATTATGTTCGGTTATAAATTATTCAGAAAGGACAAGACATCTACAAGCGTTAAGAAACTTTATGTCAAAAAAGCGATATTCACTCTTCAATTTTTTCCTACATAAGGCATTTCTGAGGGAAGGCTCATTCATTCACGATCGGAGCGTTTCATTTGAGATTTTGGTCCTAACGTAAGATCGCACGATTTTCAAAGTTCTTTCAATGAAAACACGCTGGGCGCGAAAATGAACATAAGCTTAGCTTACGGAGACGCTGAAATACATTGTGGTACCTCTTATCTTAACGAACTAGTTGCCCAATGTAAACCTAAAAGTAAAAATTCTTTATCGCTGAACCTTTTTCCAATAAGAAGGACATAACAATAATAATACTGTAACGAACAATTACGAATGAACGCGAGTGATCGATGTACATGAAATTAGAATAGCAAAACGCATAATGAACTGAGGATCGTAAAGCAAAGTTCAGCGCAATTTTGAAACTGAAATCTTCCCAGAAGGCGAAATAACATTAGAAATCACTTTAGAGACGGTGGATTACGAAATAAGACTTACTTTCGCGTGTAGTCAGAGCTTTTTGTCCCATTTTCTGCGGTATTATCCACTGCAGCTCCCAAAGGCGGCCATCTTTCTTCTAAAGGACGCGAACTGTAAAAGGTCGAATCGTCGTATTCAAAGTCTGCCATTTTGTTTCTAGACTTTGCAGCTCGGCCTCATTGTCGATCAGGTACGTTCGGAAACTAGGACTGCCTCTTTTTTGTTTACCTGAACCAGAAAAATCAGCAATAAACCAAAGATCAACGGGCAGACCAACGGAAACAAGCAATCAAATTGTTGACGTGCATTGACGCGCATCGAGTCCCTGCGTGGGTGACGAACTAGAGTAGGGTGAGTCTGTTTCAACCCACACAGGGGTGGAGTAGGGGGATTGGCCTGCCCCTCATTCCTCTATCGATGGAACGATAACCAAAAAGAAGCAAAATTACGGCATTTTCGTGATGTTTAGAACAACGGTAAAGAGAGACTTATAATAAGTCCCAAAAACAGCCATTGGAAGCACACGATATACCAAAGGGTGATCAGGGTAAATTTACAAAGAAGCAAAGCCTTATTTAAATTTCCGTTCTGATTTCACATTTGGAGACGAAACATACACTGTAGACGGGGAAGCCCCTTTTCTAGGTTTACCAGCGTTTTTGGGCCGATCGAGTGATTGTTGTGGGCGTAGGAATTTTTTTACGGTTAAAACTGAATGATTTGATTAAGACAATCCACAAAAATAACATTTCCGTTACTCTGATAAGTAGGCTAAGGCTTAGCTCAATCGACTCAAAAACGCTAGCAAATGTAGACAAAAGAGAAAAGAGTTTTTCTATTTACAGTAAAAGTTTCTTCTCGAAAATGAAACTCAGAACGGAAATATGAAGAAAAACGGATATTTTGCCGCTTTATTTCGTTGCAATCTGGCCCTGGTTACCCATAATGTCCCTTCGTTAACCCATTAGCCTGCGAACGCAGACGTATTTCCGGCTGTCGCTTGTCTCCGCCGAAAATAACACGTTATTTCNAAAAAGTTTTTCTATTTACAGTAAAAGTTTCTTCTCGAAAATGAAACTCAGGCCCAGTTCAGACGTCGTGCTTCTGTCGTGCCGAACTAAATTGCAATTAGGTTTGACTGTAGCACGGCTAGAAAACAACTCTGCTTCAGACGTCGTGCCAGAGTCGAACCAAATTCTGGATATACGGATGCCTCGTTACAATTCTCCTCCTAACTCCACGTGGGAACGCAATCTCGCCAAAATACATTAATATAATTTATGAATTTTGTTTAGCGCGGCATAAGCACGACGTTTGAATCACTGCCGTGCTAGAGTCGTGTAGCACGGCAGAGCTTGTCGAACTTAATTGCTTGCCGAACTTAATTCAAAAGTTTGATTCAGACGCCGTGCCTCTGCCGTGCTTTTGTCGAACTTAATTCCTGAATTTAGTTCGGCACGGCAAAGGCACGACGTCTGAACTGGGCCTCAGAACGGAAATATGAAGAAAAACGGATATTTTGCCGCTTTATTTCGTTGCAATCTGGCTCTGATTACCCATAATGTCCCTTAGAGCGTGAACTCCTCTATTAACCGAGCTGGAGATCTTGTACCGAGGTCGTGAGCACAGACCGAATGTAGTCAGTGCAGTGAGGTCTGTATACACAACAACCGAGGTCAAGATTCTCCCATGCAGACCGACTAAGCTCGGTTAGCAAGATGTTTATTATATGGCAAACAAGAAAAATTTAATTCGTTTTATGCAACTGGTTTGTACTAGCTGACATTTTATTTGCTTGCGAACGGCTATGGGCTGAACTTTAATCTGCTAAAGTGTGCTCGTCCTGTTTACTTTTTTTCTCTCGTCAGGCTTTTTGGCACTTTTACTAATATTTTCAGCAGAAAATAGTCAATATTTTGGTATTTTAGTGTGCAACTTTTCCACCGCAAAATGTAACCGGTCTAGATCGGGAAATCTATAGATCGCGTTCAATATCGATTCGGTAGCCCATTAGCCTGCGAACGCAGACGTATTTCCGGCTGTCGCTTGTCTCCGCCGAAAATAACACGTTATTTCGGCGGAGACAAGCGACAGCCGGAAATCCGTCTGCGTTCGCAGGCTAGCAGCCAATCGAAATAAAATTAATTGGTGAATTCTTTAGTACACAGTCCTTGTGAGACACAGCCTTATAATTATTAGTCCGCAGTCTCCCAGAGCAAATGAAATATGTGGAATGTTCTGCGGCCTTTTACAATGCTCGGGAAGCGGCTGGAACCTGGAAAAGGCCAAATTAAAGAAATGTAGTGCTAGAGTGGGGCGGAACTTTATTAGCTAGAGAACGCAGCTTCAGGGAAACGTTTATCACATAATTTGGAAAAGGAAAGACGACTTCCTAGAAATCTTTCTGGTATTGAAATGAAGGGAAAGCAAGCCTGGGTAATATATAGCTGGGGAGACTATAGCCTTAGCTTAGGATCTATAGGAAGCCTTCGGCCACTGAGGTTGTGCGGCGGATTTGCATTGGTTTCCCCGGTCGACGGTTTCGCGGGAAAACAAGTGCACAATTACGCTAAGATTCAGTGAAATTATTAAGCATCGTTTGCAGTTTCCTGCGAGTATAAACCATAGTTGTATAAACAGACTGATTTTTCCACCGGAGAACTGGGCACAAGATAGGCCAAGGGTTTAGCTAGGGATTGGCGATTATTGCTTTCAAAAATCGATGCCGCGAATATGAAGCCGAAGGAACGAGTTTTGCGGCGTGAGCAGTGTCGTCAAGGCTTTCGACATTGGTGAATTTGAAACATATTCAGTTGTCAAACATTAACCAATTGGAAACCACTTCGAACGTGTATCCTTCATTCTGATTGGCTGAGAGGTTTGCTAAGCGTCAGCAAGAAAACCTTTTGCGAAGATTCACGGCCAAAGAGTTTGTTCTACATCTTTTGTGGGCTTTCAGCAAAGCAACTTGTAAAGGTTTGTACAGTTTATTTTGTTAAGTTTTCATTCTCAAGTGTAAGAATATAAAGAGTTTCGACCACAAAGAGTCAAATTAGGGTTTTACCTTTTCCTTTAGAGGCAGTTTGCACGTTTTCGTAAAGAAACTGGCCATTAAATTAGAAAGAACTCCTACTTCTAGAATGAAATGTGTGAAACGAAGAAAGGGAGGTTTAAATGCGGTTTAAGTGCAATATAAGAAAATGTTTGCTTTAGAAGTTCTGTAAGTAATACTATCCACTGAAAGGCTAGTTTGCCGAGTAACAGGAAGCTTGTAAACCAATTTGTTTTGCACCTTTTTAAGTTCTTGTTCAATTGAAAATCGTTACTTTGTCTCGCAGGCAGTGACGACGGACTTTTAGAACGAAACTGCTCTCCAGCTGAAATGGACTTAGCCAACAGTCTGCACTTCACTCCAGTTAAGGGCAAACCACTGAGTCCCTTTATTTCCAAGCTAAAACTGCTCGTCAGCGAAGAAAAATACCGAAAAGCCATCCGTTGGTCAGAAAGTGGCGGCGCAATTCTCATTTCTGACGGCGAAGCCTTCAAACGTCAAGTTCTAGACGAAAGCGCAGAAATGTTCAAAACCAGGAACTTCACAAGCTTCGTGAGGCAACTTAACCTGTACGGCTTCCGAAAGGTTCCAGTGAACGGAAAGGGCGACCCTTCAAAAAACATGGAATTTGAGCACGTCCATTTTAAACGTGATAAGCCAGAACTTATGCATTTGGTTAAACGAACCTGCCCCTCCAGGAAAAATAAACGAGCCACCAAAGGAACTCTTACCACCTTCAAAAGAGGAAGCCCTTCACAAGGCCCGGAACCGCGGTATCGAAAATTCAAATCTGCTGAAGGTGACGAGGAAAGCGTGAATCTAGGAAACTTGGGGAGAAACGACAACAGTTTCTACAGCGAGAGCCCAAATTCATCACCGCACAGAGACACAGAAGGTGAAGAACTTTCGGCCGAATTCAGCCACTCCAGCAATTCTCCGTTTGAGGCAGCACAGGCCAATATAGCCAATTCCCTACAAGAATATTACTATCAAAGATTTCAGGAAGAACAGATTGCCGTTCAGCTTCTTCTAAATTTGCGTTACTCATCGTCCTCACCTCAAAGCTGTGAAAATTTCCAGCCGCAGCAAGCTGCTTACGATCCATCATGCGCCGGGTATCATTCTATGTACATGTACCCATCTTTGCCTTTTTACAGCCAGTACAGCTCCATGTACTGATTTAAAAACTACGTTGGAACTGATACTTACTTTCAGAATCACGATTTGAAACAAAGTTTCCTGTACTGTGCTAATTATTTTCTGATCGTTTATAGTTTAAACGAGCTTTTTTAGTGAGCGCACACTTATCGCTGAATTCAGATTACTTCGAATGATTGAAATTTATTTTTATTTGCAAGAAAAGCATTACCATATTGCTTGAGCTTTTCGTTTCTAACTTTACTTTTTCAGCTTCCTTCAATGTACAGGCAGGAAAACAGGAGAGATGAGAAAAACATACCAAAAATATTATTATTTAAAGAAAATCATCAACATTTTGACTGATTTATTGTGTTTTTTTTGTTTGTTTGTTTGGTGGAATCAGTCCTTCGTCTTTCAGTTGTTTAGTGGAATTGTTAATCTATGAGAACCCAAACTAAATTTACAACTAATTGTTAATTGTATGTAATTATACAAGAATTGAGATTATTATTGAAATTATTTATTATCACTTAATGTAGTGTAATTTATTTATATTTCACATTATTAATTGAGCATTAGTTTGAATAGTCTTTTTTCAAAGCGGAAAGGTTCGGTGTATCCAATACGACGAAGCCTTAAATTATTTTCAGACTTCTTATTATAAATCATTTTATCAAGAACAATTTGAATTCAGGTCAATTATATTTTGCAACTTTACTTTGTGATCTAGGTTGTATTTAAACATCAGGGTTTATTGTAAGAGACAAAATAAGATTTGACTGACTAGGGGAGTTATTTATTGAATGTATTTGAAGATGTAAACAAAGGCATTGAGAACTGAAGATCGGATTGTATTAAAATACAACTTACCTCACATATGGTCGAATTACGTCTAACCCCACTTACCAGGGTGTTTAGAACAACTAGACGAACCAGTAAAGTACAACTTGTTCGAGAGACTGCGTTCCTGCTGGCCAGCGCAGAAAGTTCATTTTCAGCTTTCAACTTAGCTTTTTCACCTAGCTTTCAAATGGATGAAGACAAATCTGCACTCAATAACTGCACCTTCTAGACCTGACAAGGATGTTGCTTGCAGCTTTTTTGAGTAGAAAAAAACACAAAAAGCAAATTTAGAAACAATTCTGTAAATCATATCCCTTATGGGGTGACTCTGCAATAGCTGGTTTTCACATGACGTCACTAAAATTCGAACTACGATACTATTGATCTTCCTGAGATTTTACTTTAATGATGTATAAGAGCAGCTGAAAACTAATATTCATACAAATTTTCGCTCCGAATGGGATCTTGGTTCTGTGATACACTACGCTTGAATTTCTGAGCTTTTGCGTGACGCAGCATTTACATGACGGCCTGGAGAGCTGTCATGATGGTTAAAAAAGTGACTTATTTCGGGGAATTTGGCTATCTGAACAGTTCATGTTTTAGAAAAA